AAAAAAAAAAAAAAAGGCTAATCGGATCTCCGAGCATCCAAAACGTAGATGCTGCAATCCTTGTGTACTCTCTTGATGTGCCTGCATATGTTGGCCTTCCATTTGCCACGGTACACACAATAGGGACATTTGAAACGCGGCTCCTGCCCACACTCATTACGTAAATGCCTCCTCAATGTGCATCTCCAAACGAAAACGCTCGGACAATTCGGGCAGGGATATTTCTTGTGACTCGCGTCGCTGTACCGTACTCGTTGCTTCTTGTAGCAAACGTTCGTATGATACCGTGAATCTGAAAGCAGAAAAAAAATACTCGCGGTCAGTCGCTGCTTGATTGATCGTCGAAAGTCCAAAGAGCAATATTAAGAAATTGCGAATTTACATTGAATCAACGTCCAACCTCCTCGATGCATGATTCTCGGTGATCCCCACCTGTGCTCCTTCTTTCACGAGACAAGAGTCAGCGAGGCAAATACACGCATATATAACGCAAACACGAGAACGACGAGCCGTAATTATTTTTGACGTATTAATCTTCCCTCTCTTTCTCTCTCGTGCGCGCAAGACATATGATGATTTTATACTCGATCGAGATCCGATCAATGTACTCCAAACACATCGCTGCACGTCGAGACTGATGCACTACAAGGAAAGTTGCACCTTCCTTCCCGTTCGGCGCAATGTTCTTGAAATTGCGATCGTTTGACTCGTTTTTCATCGAACGAAACAATACTCACTGTACCAGGACTTGAAACGCTTCGCGAATCTAAGGTATATAACGCGAGCAATGACAATTTGGGCAAACTTTTATTACAAGACATTTACTCTTGGAGTACAAGGGCGCTATTTGCATCTTCCAACTCTGTGCAATCGTTAATTTCTACCGATGTCGATGCATCTTACGACGCTGCCTTCGTGTCTTCTACGTACGTGCCTATAGACATCCGAGGTCCATCTAGAACGAAAGTCGCAAGACGGACATTTGAAACGTGGATTCTGACGGCACTCGTAACGCAGATGCCTGGTTAGAGAGCCGCGGTGAGTAAAAGAGCTGCCGCAAGCGTTAGAGCAGAAGAACCTTTTATTAGCAGCGGAGGGTCGTTGGGCAGTCGATTTGCGCTGTCTCCAAGTTGCGCAAACTAAGCGCGAGACGACGCCTGGAAAAGAAGATTCGATCACTGAACGTGAACAATTCATCGTCGTTTGTTAAGTGAATTTCGTTAAGTCGCGCGATAGCGCGTATCTAACAATATCACGAGAGGAAAATGAGGAATTTATTAGGATTTATGGAGCAGAGCGAGGGGGGGAGGGGGAGGCAAGGGAAAGGGCGAGATAGGAGGATAGAGTGAAAACTGTGCAGAACTGAAGAACGCGAAGCAAAGTGGAGCAGAGAGAAGCTGAGTGAGAATAGAGAGCAGAGCGAGAAGCAGAATAGAGCAGAGAGAAGCGGAGGGGAGAATAGTGCGGAAAAGATCGCATTGCGATTGACATCGCACGGAAAGGTTCGAAGATAAAGTAAACGGTGATAATCGACCAACCGGCTTCTGTATGAACGGATCTCTTTATTGATAGATCTGAAATATATATGTATATATATATATGTGTGTATATATGTATATATACACTTCGTAAACGATAGGAAGCATGCTGCTGTATAAAAACGTAGAAAAGAAATCGAAGATCGAGTCATCGGATTCTCGTAACAACTAACGACTAAGGACAAGAAAATAACCGCTGCTAATTCAATGAAACATCGTTGCGAATCTATGTGAGAAGCGAGATTACGAAGTCTCTTCCGTACGAGCAATCTTGAGAACGTCGATCGCATATACCTGACAGTTCTTGTGTCTTCTTCTCACGTGTTCGTAGATGTTGGCCGACTTTTTGCATCGATATTCGCAGTACGGGCATTTAAACCGTGGTTCTTGGCCACACTCGTACGTCAGATGTCGATTCAGCGAGTATTTCTGGCTGTAGGCACAGGCACAGTTCGGACAAGGGAACTTCTTCGTCTTACAGTTATTGTCTAAATCGGTTTCGTTTGGCAATCGGGGCCAGAGTCTGCCGATACTTTGGCCTTGTTCGTCTCCGATACCAATGTTGATCCCAAACACGTATCCCGTAGTATCTGGAACGAAACGGGTATCTGGCTGATTGCGGGTTTTTCTTTTTCTGCGCCTCTTTCGTAGAAACGATCTACATCAAGTCGATATCGAGAGTCCAGAACTTTTATCGAAAGCCCACCACGACCAACCCACAGAATAACTTGCAAAAATCAAACGATCAACAAAATATCCATTGACTAGTGCTGCGAAATCGTAAGTAATGTTGTATATATCATCGGGACGAAAAAACGGTTAAAAAGACATAGCTGCCGCACGCAATATTATGTACAACTGACAATACATAAAATTCAACGGTTCGCAGAATTACATAAAGGAGAAACTTGCACCACTTTCGAATGTTATCGAAAAATACAAAAACTTGTTGCTTAATAATAATTTTAATACAGTCGATTCATTTATGTAGGGTATTATCGAGTCCCTTCTCCTTCTATTCCCTTCCTCCGCGAAAAGGAGAAGGAGAAGGAGGTGGAGGAGGAGGAGAGGAAGAGGGAAAATTTTGCCAGGCATCTTCTCTAATTTTTCGCTCGAAAAAATTCAGTGGAACTCGTTACTCTGTTGATTATTATCGCAAATATCCAGAACATACACCTTCTGGTCAGGATGCATTCTACGTATGTGAGACCTAACGTTCGATGAATGCCTCGTGCGATACGGGCAATACGGACAATAAAATCTCGGCGACTGGCCGCACTGAAACTTCAGATGATTGTACAGATTATTTTTTCGCGTGAAAACATTACCGCACTTATGGCAAGAATAATTTTCGCTTCGCTCGTTTCGAACGTGATCGTAGATGCAACGATGCGCTACCAGACATTGAACACCTGCGAACAGAAAAGGTTAACCAAATGACTTCCGGCAATGTTCGACTTCCCGCCCAGTTAAGTAACAGAAAATTTCATTATTCCCCGACTCTCACTTATGCTCTACCAATGTACTTTTTTCTTCGCTTCGTAATTTCTTTATCGTGGACTATTGATAAAAAAAAAAAAAAAAAAATCGTATGCACAGATTAAGTTTCAATTCTAACAAAGCGGAACAGAGAATTACTCGATAGAAGAAGTGGGAGAAGAAGAAAAGAAAGACAGAGAAAGAAATAGTTTCGATAAATATTATTTATGGAAATACTGTAAAACATAGAAACATGGAAATATCGTAAAAGAAGCATTGTGAACGGTAAAAAATTAAGTTTGTAAATGTTCGTCGAATCAATTGTGATGTGATATAAAATGACAGCTTATCGTTAAGAGACGAAAGAAGGGTACGTATTCATTTCATTCAAAATAATATAATGGAAATTATGAAATTACGTAATCTTCGTCGTCAGTGGATTGTCCACGTACGTGAAAACTCGCACATTCGAATGGAATGTTCTGCTCTGCATACACGCAGTAAAGACAATTAAATCGCGGCGATTGTACGCACTCAACAATCAGCACATCAATCGTTAAAGATTTGTCGGCCAATCGATCCCTTGCAGCTTGACGTGATTATACACTGGCGCTCTCTAATCATGGTTTAATGCTGTACGCTCATCAAGTCAACAACGTAGACTTCTTTGCCTGGATGCTTTCTACGCACATGGGCTCTAACGTTCGACGTGTGTTTAGTCCTATAAGCACAATATGGACAGTTGAATCGCGGCAATTGTCCACAAGCGTACTTCAAATGATGTTGCAGATTGTATCGCCAGTTGAATGACCTGCCACACTTTGGGCAGAGGTGTAGCACTTTGTGGCGGACCCGAGGATGAGTCACCTTACGATTTGCCACCGCTCGATTCCATCCGTAATTCTCGATCGGATTTGCTTCCAGCTCCTCTGGAAAATGCAGATGTTCTTACGGTTAATTAATCTGTTCAATGATTCATTCGACAAGCCTGACGTGTGTTTCAAATCCAAACAAATCTAACAACTAAGTCACTCGCAACGCTTGATGCTCAAATCAAAGAGTCGCTCCCTCCTTTCTCGCGAAATCGTATCATCGATTCGTTTGTGACAATACGCTACTAGAAAATAACATGGAAGTTGAGAGAGAGTGCAACGTTTAATAGCTGAGTCAAGTGGTTGCAACTTTCTGCTTTCGTTTATTATTATTATTATTAAAATTCGTTGGTACACGTTGGAATTAAATCTCGCTAGCAGGTTTATTACATACATTCACATAGATCGATAAAAACTTTGTTTAAATTCGTTGTGAATATGAAAATACAAGTTGAACACAAA